TCAACAGCTAAACAAAAAACGCGAATTTCAGGACAGCTGAAACAAGTCACCCGCGCAGCAGCTAGACGACTGGGAATCAAAGTACCGCAAATTCAACTTCCACACCGCGCTCAGGAACACATCAAGCCATTCGTCCCGGACCCTGGCCCGCCAAGCCCGAGACCAACGGAACCTCCGCCGAGACCATTTCCATCCAGCCCGCGTTTTCATAACACTATCACAGGCCGCCACGATGTTTCGGGTTCTCAGCATCGCCTTCACACTAGTTCTTTCTCTTCCCCCGACCAATCAACAACCGACCAATTTCATACCGGCATCGACAGCCCAGCCCACCCTCACCAACACCCAAGGCCACCTCCTACTTCATAAAGACCGCCGTTTCTTTTTCCAAATCGACAAAGGCCACCTAGTATTCCACTTTAACTTTTCTCAACAATTACAGCAAACAACAGACCTTCTCCATACAATCGAAACAATCAATTTACCTTCTTTTAACGTCACGATCCAATTTCTCCACTCAAAACTACTTTTCGCCCGCAACGAGTTCCTGAACGTACATAGCATAATGTCTCAGCCAAACAACCGCAACAAACGATTCCTTGGACCACTCGTCGCCATCGGAACCGGCATTGCTGTCGGAACCGGAATTTTTAACACAATACAAATGACCAAATTAAATTCACAACTTTCCACCGTACATCACCAAACAAAACAAATAGCCCGTAACCAACAACAGCTTCATGACCAAGTCCAACACCAAGCAACAATTTTAGCAGATATACAAAAAGCGGCAGAAGAATCACTTAAATACACTAGACACTTCTTTCAACAAATCATCAAACTTCAGGAACTCGCGGAGCAGGTTCAAGTTTTCACCCACAACCTCTTCTTTCTTTCACAACAATTTCAAATAGCACTTAAGCAGCAATTTCCCCTCCTCCTCATACCTAAACAAACCATAACAGAGCAAATACGCATCCTCACCGACAAAGCAACAAAACTTCACCTCCACCCGATCATACATGAAACGGAGCTCCTCATCCAACTTCCGATCAACTTTGCCGTTTTCCCCGATACACTCTCCATCATCCTGGAAGTACCTCTCACTCATTCCAC